TTTTTTTGTCGAATGGACAATAATAGAATCAATTTTGGGGGTAAATATTTACTCTTATGGGCTTTTATTTTTAAGTGTTATAATTACCGGGTGTATTATTTTAATTTTAAATAATATTTTGTATAAAGAATTATGTGTATTATTGTTTTTAGCTTTACTAATAGTTTTATTTATAATTTTTTTATCTATAGATTTAATAAATTTTTATTTTTACTATGAGTTTAGATTAACCTTAATATTTATAGTTATTTTATATTGGGGGGTTGGTAATATTCGGTTAATTTCTGGTTATTATTTTATATTTTATACTTTGTTTTTTTCTTTGCCTTTATTAATATTTATATTTTTTTTTTCAATATTTTTTAATATAAATGTGTTTTTTATACTAGAGTTAATATTAAATGTTAATAGTTTATTGTTGAATAAATTTATATTTATATATATAGTTATATCATTTTTTATTAAGATTCCAATATTTTTATTCCATGGGTGATTATTAAAAGCTCATGTTGAAGCACCTGTATTTGGGTCAATAATTTTGGCTGGAATTTTGTTGAAAATAGGAACATATGGGTTATTACGATTTATAAGAATATTTTTTGTAAATTTTATTAATTTAAAATTTTGATTGCTAATTTTTAGCATATTAGGTAGAATTTATATTAGAATTGTTTGTATTCGACAAATTGATATAAAGGTATTAGTCGCATATTCATCTGTAGTTCACATAAATTTATTACTTTGTGGAATAATAACTTTTTTAAAGATAGGTATATTAGGAGCTTATATAATAATAATTGCTCATGGATTATGCTCTTCAGGATTATTTTATTTGGTTAATATTTGTTATCAGGAGAGTAATAGTCGTTTAATAATTTTAAATAAAGGGTTTATAATATTTTTACCTTCAATAAGATTAATTTGGTTTCTATTATGTTCTTCTAATATATCTGCCCCTGTTTCTTTAAATTTAGTTAGAGAAGTACTTTTATTAATAAGTCTAGTATTAATCAATAAAATTTTAATTTTATTGCTAATATTTTTATGTTTTTTTTCATTTTTATATACTTTGTATTTATTTAGATATGTTCAGCATGGTAAAATTAATTTTTATCTAAACATTGGAGGGAATAACATATTAAATTTTTATATTTTAATTATTCATTGAGTTCCTCTGAATATTTTATTTTTAAATTTATTTATATTTGATTTTTAATTGTATTTAAATAGTTTAATTTAAAATAATGAATTGTGGTTTCATTGATGTTTATAACTTTAGATTATTTTATATAATATATTCATTTTTGGGGTTATTATATTTTTATTAAATTTAATTTTTGGTTTAACTAGACTATATACTTATATAAATATATTTTTTTATATTTTAGAGTGGGATATATTGTATTTTATATCGATAAAATTTAGTTACATTATGTTTTTGGATATTTATAGGTTATTATTTATTAGAGTTGTAATAATTATTTCAAGTATAGTAATATTTTATAGTTTAGAATATATATGTTTAGATTTAACTATTAAACGATTTTATTATTTATTAATTTTATTTATTATTTCAATATGTTTAATAATTTTAAGTCCGAGAATTTTAAGAATTATACTAGGTTGAGATGGTCTGGGATTGATTTCTTATTGTTTAGTAATTTATTACAATAGAATAATTTCCTATAATTCGGGTATATTAACTATTATATGTAATCGATTAGGTGATATTGGATTATTAATAGGAATTTGTTTATGTTCAGTCTATGGTTCTTGAAATTTAATATTATATTTTTTTAATATAAGAATAATTAGAATTATGCTAATTTTGGCAGCATTAACAAAAAGAGCTCAGTTGCCTTTTTCTTCCTGACTTCCGGCGGCTATAACTGCTCCTACTCCTATTTCTTCTTTAGTTCATTCCTCAACTCTAGTAACTGCTGGGGTTTATTTATTAATTCGATTTCATGAGTTTACTTTATATTTAAATTTAAATATTTACTTAATAAATTTATTTATTATAACTATATTTATAGCGGGTATTATAGCTAATTTTGAGTTTGATTTAAAAAAAGTTATTGCATTGTCAACTTTAAGTCAATTAAGATTTATAATAATAGTATTAATAATAGGATTTTATGAATTAGCTTTTTTTCATTTGATTATTCATGCTTTATTTAAATCTTTAATATTTTTATGTGCGGGTGATTTTATTCATTCAATAAATAATGATCAAGATATGCGTAATTATAAAAGTATAATAGTAATTTATCCAACAAAAAGTTTAATTATAATATTTAGTTTGTTTAGATTAATAGGTTTTCCTTACTTTAGAGGATTTTATTCAAAAGATTTAATTATTGAATTAATTATGAATTATAAGTTAAATTTTATATTCATTTTTATGTTTTTTGTTTCCATACTATTAACTATTAGGTATAGAATTCGATTGATAATGTTTTTAATAGTTGGGAATTTTAATTTTAATACTTATATAAATTTTCATGAATCTAAATTTTTTGTTTTTAGTTTATTAATTTTATTTAATTATATAGTTTTTTATGGATTTAATTTTTTAAATTTAATATTTAATAAATTTTATTATTCAATAAGATTATTAGATAAATGAATAATTTTAGAATTTTATATTTTAGGGGTGTATATAGGATTAAATTTTTACTTAAAAACATACATTAATAATTTGGTATTTAATTTTATTTCAAGGATGTTTTTTTTGAATAACTTAAATAAAATTATTTATTTAGATACTTTTAATTTAATTTTTAATTATGAGATTATTATTGAAAAGGGATGAATAGAATGAATAATAGGGTTATATTTTACTAAGTGGTTAAATTTGATTTTTTTAATTAAACTAAAATTTAATAAAATAGTGATAAATTTGAATAATTTAATTTTATTTTATTTTTTAATAATTTTGATTATATTTTTAGGTTTTTAAATTTAAATAGCTTAACTAGAGCACAATATTGAAGATATTGAGGTAACTTAATAATTTTTAAATATTTATAAATTAGTTAAATTAACCTTATAGTGAAATTATAACGTTTTTGTTAAACTATATAAATAAGGGGAAATAATAATGATTAAACATTTTTTTTGAATTAGAAGTTCTAAGAAATTATTTCTTTAATTAGAAATTACTTCAATTAAATTATTAACAATAATTTACCTCTTTTTGGTTTTAATTAAATTAGATATATTAAATTAGCTTAATTACTATAAAATGCAATATTATTATTATAAATTAACTAATATCCATATATAAAGTAAAATTTACATTTAATTTCGAACTAAAAATTGATTAATTTAGCAGTTAATCTATATATATTTAAATTGGTTAATTGATTCATTTTAAAAAGTTAAAGGATCATTCTAATCATAAAGTAAAAATTAAAATTACTAAAAATAATACAAATGTTAATCTTGTATTTAAAGGGTAATATAAACTAATAACTTTTATTATAGGAATTATTAAAATAATCTCAATATCAAAGATTAAAAATATTAAGGTAATTATGTAGAATTGAATAGAAAATGGTAATCGAGATCTAGTTAATGGGTCAAATCCACATTCAAAAGGTAAATTTTTTTCTCGCCTTTTTTTTATATTTATCGATAGAAATAGATTTATAATTATGATAATTATAGGGATAATAATTATGACTGTTAGAATGAAAATTAAAGTTAAAATTATACATATTCATTTTATTATAAATGAAATTATTTAATTGGAAATTAAATGTAATTATTATACTATGTGTATATTTAATTAAATATTCATCAGTAAACAGAAATATAAAGAAATAATCAAATAATATCAACGAAATGTCAGTATCACGAGGCAGCTTCAAAGTGAAAGTGATGTATTTTAGAAAAATGATTTTTAGTTAATCGAATATAACATCTAGTTAAAAATAAAATTCCAATAATTACATGTAATCCATGAAATCCTGTTATTATAAAAAAAATTGAGCCAAAGATTCTATCATTAAAGCAAAATCTTGCTTCAAAATATTCAATTGCCTGTAATCTGGAGAAATAAATTCCTAAAATAATAGTTATTAGTAATCTAAATATTCTTTTATCAATTTTATTATTAATTAAAGAATGATGTCTTCAAGTAACTGTTAATCCTGATGAAATTAAAATAATTGAATTTAATAAAGGAATATCATAAGGATTAAATATAGTAATTATTTTAGGAGGTCAAATTGATCCAATCTCAATATTTGGAGAAATTGATCTATGAAAATATGTTCAGAAAAAGGAAATAAAAAAAAATAGTTCAGATACAATAAATAAGATTATTCCAAATTTTATTAATTTATATACTGAAAGAGTGTGTCACCCTTGGTATGTTCTTTCTCGAATAACATCTCGTCATCATTGATAAATCGATATAATTATAGGAATTAATCTTATTATAATGAATATATAATTATTTAATAAAAATCAATTTAATATTCTAATTAGAAGATTTATTAAATTTAAAGATGAAATTAAAGGTCATGGACTAATAGTTACTAGGTGAAAAGGATGATTTTGATTGATTGTCATTAATTCACTTCATTAAAGTACAAAATTCTAAGAATAGAGAATACATATGATTGAATAATAGAAACAGAAATCTCTAGTAATATTAGTATATTTTGAATTACAATAGCTAGGGGG